AAAGCTCAAAACACACATTACACCTCACACAATAATAGTGGGGGATTTCAACATCCCACTCTCAGCAATAGACAGATCATGGAAACAGAAACTAAACCGAGACACTTTGACATTAACAGAAGTTATGAACCAAATGGACTTAACAGACATCTATAGAACACTTCATCCTAAAACAAAAGAATATACCTTTTTCTCAGCACCTCATGGTACCTTCTCCAAAATAGACCATATAATTGGTCACAAAACAGGCCTCTACAGATACAAAAAGATTGAAATAATCCCTTGCATCTTATCAGATCACCAAGGACTAAGACTGGTCTTTAATAATGACAAAACCAATGGAAAACCCACGTGAACATGGAAACTGAACAACTCTCTACTCAATGATGACTTGGTCAAGGAAGAAATAAAGAAAGAAATTAAAGACTTTTTAGAATTCAATGAAAATGAGGACACATCATACCAAAACTTGTGGGACTCTGAGAAGGCAGTGCTAAGAGGAAAACTCATAGCTCTAAGTGCCTACAAAAAGAAACTGGAAAGAGCACACACTAACAACTTGACTGCACAACTAAAAGCTCTAGAACAAAAAGAAGCAAATACACCCAGGAGGAGTAGAAGGCAGGAAATAATCAAACTCAGGGCTGAAATCAACCAAATAGAAACAGAAAGAACAATACAAAATATCAATAAAACCAGGAGCTGGTTCTTTGAGAAAATCAACAAGATAGATAAACCCTTAGCCAGATTAACCAGAGGGCACAGAGACAGTATCCAAATTAATAAAATCAGAACTGAAAAGGGAGACATAACAACAGAAACAGAAGAAATTAAAAAAATCATCAGATCCTACTACAAAGGCCTATACTCAACAAAACTGGAAAACCTGGATGAAATGGACAATTTCCTAGACAGATACCAGGTACCAAAGTTAAATCAGGAGCAGATAAACCATCTAAATAGTCCCATAACCCCTAAGGAAATAGCAGCAGTCATTAAAAGTCTCCCCACTAAAAAAAGCCCAGGACCAGATAGTTTTAGTGCTGAATTCTATCAGACCTTCAAGGAAGACCTAATACCAATTCTCTTCAAACTATTCCACAAAATAAAAACCGAAGGAACACTACCCAACTCATTCTATGAAGCTACAATTACACTCATACCCAAACCCCACAAAGACCCGACAAAGAAAGAGAACTTCAGACCTATCTCCCTTATGAACATCGATGCAAAAATACTCAATAAAATTCTAGCAAACTGAATCCAAGAACACATCAAAACAATCATCCATCATGATCAAGTAGGTTTTATCCCAGGAATGCAGAGATGGTTCAATATTCGGAAATCCATCAATGTAATCCACTATATAAACAAACTCAAAGGAAAAAAAAACACATGATCATCTCACTAGATGCTGAGAAAGCATTTGACAGAATTCAATATCCCTTCACGATAAAAGTCTTGGAAAGATCAGGAATTCAAGGCCCCTACCTAAATATAGTAAAAGCAATTTACAGCAAACCAGTAGCCAACATCAAGCTAAATGGAGAGAAACTTGAAGCAATCCCACTAAGATCAGGGACTAGGCAAGGCTGCCCACTCTCCCCCTACCTATTCAATATAGTACTGGAAGTCCTAGCCAGAGCAATTAGACAACAAAAAGAAGTCAAAGGGATACAAATAGGAAAGGAAGAAGTCAAAATATTACTATTTGCAGATGATATGATAGTATACTTTAGTGACCCCCAAACTTCCACCAGAGAACTCCTAAACCTGATAAACAACTTCAGCAAAGTAGCTGGTTATAAAATCAACTCAAACAAATCAGTAGCCTTCCTCTACATGAAAGATAAACAGACTGAAAAAGAAATTAGGGAAATGACACCCTTCACAATAGCTGCAAATAATATAAAATACCTTGGTGTGAATCTAACCAAGCAAGTGAAAGACCTGTATGACAAGAACTTCAAGTCTCTGAAGAAAGAAATCGAAGAAGATCTCAGAAGATAGAAAGATCTCCCATGCTCATGGATTGGCAGGATTAATATAATAAAAACGGCCATCTTGCCAAAAGCAATCTACAGATTCAATGCAATCCTCATTAAAATCCCAACTCAATTCTTCACAGAGTTAGAAAAGGAAATTCTCAAATTCATATGGAATAACAAAAAACCCAGGATAGCGAAAACTATTCTCAACAATAAAAGAACTTCTGGAGGAATCAACATTCCTGACTTCAAGCTGTACTACAGAGCAATAGTGATAAAAACTACCTGGTATTGGTACAGAGACAGGCAGGAAGATCAACGGAATAGAATTGAAGACCCAGAAATGAACCCACATTCCTATGGTTACTTGATCTTTGACAAAGGAGCTAAAACTGTCCAGTGGAAAAAGGGCAGCATTTTCAACAAATGGTGCTGGCTGAACTGGAAGACAACATGTAGAAGAATGAAAATTGATCCATTCTTATCTCCTTGTACAAAGCTCAAGTCTAAGTAGATAAAGGACCTCCACATAAAACCAGATACACTGAAACTAATAGAAGAGAAGGTGGGGAAGAGCCTCGAATACTTGGGCACAGGGGAAAAGTTCCTGAACAGAACACAAATGGCATATGCTCTAAAATCAAGAATTGACAAATAGGACTTCATAAAATTGCAAAGTTTCTGTAAGGCAAAGGACACTGTCAATAGGACAAAATGACAACCAACAAATTGGGAAATGATCTTTACCAATCCTTCATCTGATAGAGGGCTAATATCCAATATATACAAAGAACTCAAGAAATTAGACTCCAGACAACCAAATAACCCTATTAAAAAATGGGTTATAGAGCTTAACAAAGAATTTTCAATGGAAGAAACTCGAATGGCCGAGAAGCACCTAAAGAAATGTTCAGTATCCTTAGTCGTCAGGGAAATGCAAATCAAAACAACCCTGAGATTCCATCTCACACCAGTCAGAATGGCTAAGATTAAAAACTCAGGTGATAGTAGATGCTGGTGGGGGTGTGGAGAAAGAGGAACACTCCTCCATTGTTGGTGGGACTGCAAGATGGTGCAACCATTTTGGAAATCAGTGTTGAGGTTCCCCAGAAAATTGGACACAGCATTACCTGAGGATCCAGCTATACCACTCCTAGGCATATACCCAGAAGATGCTCGAACATATAACAAGGACATATGTTCAACTATGTTCATAGCAGCCTTATTTATAATAGCCAGGAGCTGGAAAGAACTCAGATGTCCTTCAACTGAAGAATGGATTCAAAAAATGTGGTATATTTACACAATGGAGTATTACTCAGCTATTAAAAGCAATGAATTCGAGAGTTTCCTAGGTAAATGAATGGAACTAGAAATTATCATCCTGAGTGAAGTAAGCCAATCACAAAAGAATACACATGGTATTCACTCACCGATTATTGGATATTAGCCCAGAACCTTGAAATGCCCAAGATGCAACTCACAGGCCACATGAAGCTCATAAAGAAGGAAGACCAAGTGGGGATGATTCGGTCCTTCTTAGAAGGAGCAACAAAATACTCAAGGGAGCAAATATGGAGACAAAATGAGGGACAGAAACTGAAGGAGGGGCCATCTGAAGACCATTTCACCTGAGTATCTATCCCATGTACAGTCACCAAAGGTAGATGCTGATGTGGAAGTCAGGAAGTGCATGCTGATAAGAGCCTGATATGGATGTCTCCTCAGTGGTCTTCAAGAGTCTGACACATTCAGAGGCAGATGCTCACAACTAGCCATTGAACTGATAATGTGGTTCTCAATGGAGGAGTTAGAGTGAAGACTGAAGGAGCTGAAAGGGTTTGCGGCACCATGAGGAGAGCAACAATACCAACCAACCACAGCTCCCAGGGTCTAAACCACCAGCCTGGGAGCACTTAGGGAGGGATCCAGGGCTTCAGCTGAATAGTGTGGAGGGCCCTGCTGGGCATAGGTGGAAGAAGAGATCCTTGACCTCATGAAGGCTGGACGCCCCAGGGGGTGGGAATTTTGAGGGTGGGGAGGTGGGAGTAGGGGGGTAGGTAGGGGTTACATCCACAGAGAAGAAGGAGGAGGGGTGAGGGGATAGTGGGTTCCTGGGTGGGTAGGGGATGGGGTATGGGGACAACATATGAAATGTAAATAAAACATTGGCTGCTCTTCCAAATGACTTGGATTCAATCCCCAGCACCCACCTGGCAGCTTACCACTGTCTGTAACTCCAGTTCCAGAAGTCCTAACATCTTCACACAGATACACATGCACCCAAAACACCAATGCACATAAAATAAAATAGTTTTTAAAAGATTCAAAAAAAGAAAGAATTGGGGTGTTAAAAAAAATCATTCATTTAAATTCACCATCTTGCCTTCCAGTTTCCGTCTGCACCCTGGAGCTTACCCTGTGCCACAGCTTTCCATTCCAGAATCCCACCCAGAGAGAGCTGGTCTCCCTCTCAGGAGTGCTAACACACTTAAGATCACAGGTGAGACCACCATTACTGCTCCAATTACTGATCCAAGTGGGACCCGCCAGGAGCCCACAGGATACAGGAACCTTGGAACAGCCGGGGACAGGATCCTTCCTGTTTCCATCTGTGCCCCAGAGCTAACCCTGTCCTACAGCTCTCCCTACTAGAATTCCACTCAGGGAGAGTTATCTCCCAGGAATGCTGACACACCTAAGATCACAGGCTCACAGGCTCACAGGCTCACAGGCTCACAGGCTCACAGGCTCACAGGCTCACAGGCTCACAG